GCGCCTGGGAAAGGGGGGCCCAGGGGACGTGGGGATCACGGGGGCTTATCAGGGCACCCTTCCTCCTAGAAACATCCCTTCTGATCCTTAGAGCTAACCGCGGGGGTGCAGAAAAATTATGCTCTCTTTTGCAGTCAGCATTTAGTCCCATGGGAAGGTTTTTAGGGAATCTACTTTCCTGGGGGATCCACCTATTTCTTTTACCTTGAGATGCAAAACTGCCTTCAGGGTACCTCATCCTCTTTGCCACAGCTGGAAAGTGGGGACAGTAATAGCCACCTCAGGGTTGCCACGAGGACAGAGCGAGATGACATGTTGACACGCCCGGCACACAGGAGGGGTTAGTAGGGGGCACCTGTGGCTGCCAGTGTGTTCTAGTTCCTTCCCTCTCCTCTAGGCGATGCAGTGAAATGCAGGGAGCGGATGGCTACCGAGCAGGTGGGCAGCTGGAGGAGCCAGGGAGCCGGGCGCTGCCCTCCTTGGGGAGACCGAAATGCGGGGCGCACAGGCCCGGGGGCGTGCTCCGCGGCTGGGCCAGAGGGCTGTGGGCCGCCCTGCGGGGGGTCTCCTGTGTTGTCTTTGCCATGAGCATTCTGGCCTCAGAAAGGACCCCCCCACCTTGCCCTCCTGTGCGGATGACGGCAGGGAAGAACACAAAGTGACTGTTAGACAAGGGTTGCAGGCATCCTGCCCTCCTCGTTTCCGGGGTGCTCCGGGAGTGGGCATCATTCTGACAGCCCCGGACCCCTCTCCTCCAGGTCCAGGCCTGAGAAGACAGGTGAGCCACGGTCCAGGCTTTTCTGTCTACCTAGGTCCTGCCTGCTGGTCCTGCCTGGGGTTGGCGTTGACAGTGGCTCCTGCTGTTGGACAGCGCATCCTACCCGCTGTCCAGCTGTCCTCCCCTCCCCTGCTGCCCTCCTAAAAACCAGACTTGGAGTCAGCAGGTCCTTCTCCAGGGCCTTCGCAGGGACAGAAGGGCAGTGGGAGCATCTCACCCACTGGACGGTCGAATCAGCCCCTACTTCATGGTGGGGATCTGCACCGCTCTTGACAGGATGCTAAGATGGGCACAACTGCTCTTCGGTTGACACACCTCACTTCAGTTAGGGGACCGTGATGCAGAAGGCGGCCAGAGTCGGCTTTCAGCAGGTCCAGCCAGCAGTTCAGAGGAGGAAAGTCGATTTGGTCGAAGGTAGTTGGATGGGCAGGACGAGAGGGTGAGGCGAGGCCAGCTCACGGGCGCCTTGTCCCCTCTGGATGCTGATGGGCAGCAGCTGCACGGGGGCGGGGTCCTGTCTGCCGCTGGCGGTCGCCGTTCCTGTGGGGGGAGGTGTGGGCAGGCAACACACCTCTTTATCGGGGAGAGACGGGCCTTGCTCCCTTGTGTTTGCAAGCGCCTAACAGCAAGGACACTGGGTAGGTCGGGTGGGCCACTCTCCGGCATGAAGGAGCAGAGAGAAAACCCCAGTGTCCGCCAGCCCGTCTGTGAAGCTGGCTTCCAGCCGCCGCAGCAAGGTGTGGGGACCGGCCCAACGTGTGCCCGTTTGGAGACGGTGTCCTGTTGTTGAAGCGCTGTGACCTGCCCACACCGCCCTGTCCCCTGCGACCCCGGGCCGGCGAATGCCTCGGGGGCACCCTGTTGCCAGGAAGAAAGTACAAAATAGAACATGTCTGAAATGCAGAGGAGGAACGGAAGCAAATAAAGACGTTAAATTCACAGACCAAATAGGTGGACCTGGAGTTGGCCAGCGATTTTACTCTGGAAGGACTTTGCGAACCGATTGAGGAGAGCAGAATGTTACTTAAATTTAGTGCAGTTTCGTTGTTGTGAGGAAATCACTGGCGTGGCCTCCATGCTGGGCCATCTCAGTCTTTCTGGACCATGACCATGGCCTCTCGTTTGGACCCGGGTTACACGCAGGCGACGAGATGGGACAGGTGTCTGATGAAGTGGGGGCTCCAGGCGCTTTTGTTCTGATCAGCTCATGGTGCTCCCCCATCTCTCCCTGAACATTGTCAAGGCCAAAGTATCTTGATGAGCTTGCCTTTCTTCCCATCCTACGGTGAACCCCAAGATGGACACATATGATAAAAGTCTTGGTAGTTGTGGCAAGATTAACAAGTGGGCTTGGGTCGGGCCACCCACTGTTCTCAGTGCTTGTCCTTAACCCTTACAGCAACTTGACAAGGTCGCTGTTCCCGCATTCCCATTCTAGATTAAAACATCAAGGCACAGGAAGGCTCAGTAACGTCCCTAAGGTCACACAGTGCCAGTCCTGGGCTTTGGAGCCAGGTAGTGAGGCTCCAGGGCCCGGGCTCTTCCTGCTACCTCGGCAGTGTTTCTGCTCCATTAGTAACAAGTACATCATTTGTGAGTCCCTGAGGGCTGAGCCAGGATAATCAGAGATGTAGGAGTTAAGAACTGTGGTCTCTGCCCGAGGCCACGCGGTAACGGGGGAACTCACCCTCAGAGGTGGCGTCCTGACTACAAACACGGGCTCTCTCTCCACTGGGCTGTTCTCAGTGGAGAGGCTCCGAGCTCGGGCCGTTTCAAGGTAGGGAAGGAACTGGCTCACTGTGTGTGCAGCAGCTCCCAGAAGTGCCCAGCCTCATGGACAGGTCTGCTTATGACATGTCCTGTCTAAATGAAGTCAAGCCATGTTTGAGCCAGGAAAAGTAGCTGTTGCTATTTAAAGGACCTTTTGCTATTTCAACCCCCTAGGCAAAGTCTCACTCCCTAGCTTACCTTCTGTGCTAAGAAGCAGGAGAGAAGGGCGCCAGATGAATTCAGAAGAGGAAAGTCCTGGCCGATGTGCTCTGTGCTCTGTGCTCGACAGCTGAGCTGTTACAACCTGCCTGTGGGAGTTGCCGGAGAGGAAATAGCCCCTGGGCCTCCGGGAGGATGGCGCCCGGCCGAGGATGCTGCTGGGAAGTTAGACACAGAGGTGCAGGCAGAATCTTGAGGGAGCCTGGCCTGGCGTCTTGCCAAGCTCTCATTTTCACGGCAGACTTGGAAACGGCCACGGCCTCCTCCCAGTCGGCGCTGCCTACGCTGAACTGCTAACTTGGCCAGTGGGCACCGTGTCGCCGTCCCTGGCAAGGAGGTCCAGAGGGGCCGTTGATTCATCTGAGTCCTGACTTCATGTCTGACTGGAAGTAGGATCCAAGCGCAGTTGGGAAGGAACGAGACAGAATCCAGCGGGGGTAGGGAAACTGGCTCCTAGTCAGTATCAAGAAGTCCATTTTCACCTTGTGAACGGAGAGGCAGAGTCCGTTCTCCTTCCTGGCGATGCTGCACATTTTTATGAGATCAGAGTCGATGAACCGAGAAACATCCCAAATGGGGAAGGATGATGGTGGCACGAGAGTGGGCAGGTGTGTGTGTGTGTGTGTGTGTGTTCCATTTGTGATTCAAAGCATGGCTGCTACACATGCAACATCCATTCCATTCTGGTCAAGGTCTTACTTAGCATCAGACCCCCTTGATGGAGACCCTGCCACCACCCCCCCCCACCAGCTTTTGTTACTGGTTCTTATTACTAGATGACTTTTTCTTTGGTTGAGCCAATGAAGGTGACTTCTATGCAATTTCCGAATTCTGTCTTCAAGACCCATCTTCCATGTGCTGGTTTTACAAATATTTAAAGACAGCTTCTTTTTCACCAAAAGTAAAAAAGAGAAAGTCCAGCTGCTTATATAATCTCAAAGTCAAGCCCTCTCTTCCCTGTTCCCATGCGTGTAGCAAATGCCCCTCTTCCAGCCATGGTCACTCGGGTCTGTCTAATTATTTTTGTATTTATAGTCACACAGTATTTACTGAGTGCCTTCTTTCTCCCAGATGCTGTAGTAAGAAATTTCTATACGATCTTTTGTTTAACGCTCATTCCAATTCCCTGACATTGGTGGAGTTACACCCTCTTTACAGATGAGAAAACTGAGGCTCAGAAAGAGAAAGTGGCCTCGCTTCTCTGTCAGTTTCCTCATCTGTGTAGTGTGGATGCTCATACTTCCTCTTCGGGTGGTGTGAAGAGGAAACAAGGGAGATGTATCATTGCACGTAGTAGGTGTGCAATAAACGGGAGCTGTTTTCTGGTGACAGTCCCTTCGTGGTCAGTCCATTCCATTTTTGGCAATGAGGATAACGATGATATTAGCATTTCTGTAATGGACACAACCTCCAGGACACAGTGCCAAGAGTTTCACAGGCATTGGCTTGCCTGATACCTTCAATTCAGACACTGGTGCCACTAGTATCCTGGTTTCACTAAAGGAGGAAATTGGAGGCCAGAGACAAAGTTACTTGCCCACAGTCAGAATAGCCATAAAGAGCAGAGCTGGGCTTGGCACAGTTCAGTTGGCTCTTGAGTCCACGCTGCCAAGCACTGCCCCCCCACACCCTCCCCAAGAGACATGCTGTGGCATCTTTTGCCATGTGAGTGCTGGGTACCCAGGACTCCTTCAGGATGCTGACTGGGGCACGAGGGAGGCTGGGGTGCATGGCAACCCTGCAGACGTGTCAGGACACGGCAATTTTCACGTGTGAAGGAAGAGGCCCAAGCGAGGCCCAGGAAGGGGTCCTGGTAGAGAGAGTGAGTCTGGGAGACCAGGGCATGTCAGATAGGCAGTGGAGGGGCGGCAGGGAGCTTCAGCGCGTGAAGTCGATTTTGGATTATGGATTATGGATTATGGATTATGGATTATGGGGAAACCAGAGCCGAGAGACTCCTCCAGGGGTGAATGCAGCCTGGGAATTTCCAGGGCTGTCAGATGTGAACATGTGGAGGAATTAACCCACATGGTCACTGCCCTCCCGCCCCCTCCACGCCTTCCCCGCCCAGTGGGTGCCTCTCCTCTGAATCCCTGCTCCCACAAACACAGGTATCCGCTCTCGTTGGCTCAGACGTTAGAAAGCAGTGCCAGGCACTCTGGCTGGATGCACCCCCTATATGGTTCAGGCCTCCCTAACCTGCTCCCCGTCTCTGTCTTCCCTTTTCCTGCAGTGATCCGGGCCCGAGTGGTGGGGAAGAAGCTGGTGAAGGAGGGGCCCTTTGGCACCCTGGTCTACACCATCAAGCAGATGAAGGTGAGTGACAGCAGCCGGCTTCAGGAGGGCTTCTGGGTTTGTTTGGCCAGGAGAGGCCCGGCCAGGTGGTGTGGAACCAGGGTTGAGTTTGCTCAGTGTCTGCCCCAGCCCCAGCCCTCCGCCCTGCTGCAGAGGGTGTTGCTGAGGCAGCAGAAAGGAATGGGCGGAAGTGGGGGCGCTGCTCCATCCAGAGCCGGCGCAGGTGGGGACCTTCAGAGGCGTTGTTAAGAGGCGGGACTCTGGAACCAGACAGCAGACAGCCTTGTTGCCTGGTAACGGTGAGACCTTGGCCAGCTCATTGTGAAGCCATCTCTGGGCCTCAGTCTCCCCATCTGTAAAATGAGGGCGTTGGACCAGACTGTCTCACGGGCTCTCTCAGGCTCTGACTCAGAATGTCGACAATGCCTACAGGTCTTGTGCAGTCACTGAGGTTGCAACTTAGGTTCATCCCCTCGAATCTTGAACGCGAACTCGTGCTGATCACAGAAACCTCATTGTGAGGTAGGAACTGCACGCTCTGGCCGGTTATCCCAGCTTCAGTTATCTTCTGGACCCCAACTAGTTGGCATCATTTTCTAAGCACATTCATACGACGAGACACAGGCCTGCCCGTGTCCCCATGTGCAGCGCATTAGGGAAATGCGCCTCACGGAAAAGAACCTGGGAGTCGGAACCGGAGAACCTGCTTCCTGGTCTCAGCTCCACTCCTAAGGAGCTCGCTGACCTTGGACTCCCCCTTCCCGGCCTCAGTTTTGCCAGGTGTTAACATGGGAGTTGGGCTCGGTGCCCCGGGGAGCCCTATGGCCGAGGCGTTTCAGGATTCGGGGACACTGGCTACATTACTTCTAAACAGAAGCTGCGTCAGGTGCGGAACAGTGTGGAGCTGGTCCACCACCCACCTTCGTAAGCACCTCCCTATGCACAGCTGTGTTCCAGGAGCCATGGAGGCCCCTCGGAAAACGGGGTTCCTGCGAGGAGAGGAGGCACGTGGGTGACTCATCAGAAGTTCGGATGGGTGCACTCGGGTCCAAGTGAAGTGCCAGATCGTGGCTCATCTTGGCACCCCAGCAGTCAGGGCGGGGTGGCACAGCCCAGGGGAGTCACCCGTCCATCCCGAAGGCAGACCCGCAGGCCTCACTGACCTGCACCCCGAGGCCTGAGGTTAGATGTACTGTCGTAGAACCTGGTGCTTTGGGTTTGGAAACCTCCACAGCCTTCTGGTTATGTAATGTCCAGAGTCAGCCCTGGCCCGTCGCCCTGGGCTGCCCGAGCTTGGTCATGGGACCCGCTCATGTCTTCAGACGGCCATGGTGAGAGGACAGTGGGCGGATGGGGGCCAAGAAGAGCAACGACAACCCAGAAACCTGGCCGCTGGCGAGTGGACGCCAGAGCACGTCAGACAATAGCCGAGGTTTAGGAAACACGGACTGTGGTCCATGTGGCAGACTCTGTGGCCAGCAGACAGCTGCAAGGAGAGAACTGGGAGGCAGTGGTTCTGGGTTTGCCTCGCTCCCCTCCTGCCTTCAGGGCCTGGACGCCAGCGTGGTCCGAGGCCCTTCCTTGGGCAGAATGCCCTGTTTCCCCTCAGTGGGTCGGACCAGCCCCTGGGCAGCGGGGCGGTGTTTAGAGGCTGAGTGACATTTGCTCACCATCAGCTTCAGCGCACAAGCCCGCCCCCTGGACACTGGTCTTAGGCTGTGCATCACCATCCTTCTCCCGGGTTCATGGAACCAGGGTGCTGGGCATTAGAAAAGAAAGTCACCCAGTTTTCTTCTGACAGGCTCAGAGGGGAAATGACTTACTTAGGGTCAGGCAGCTAATTAAAGGCAGAGCTGGTCCCCAAGCTGAGGTGTCAGGATTCTTTCCCAGTCCGTGTGTTCTTTACATGACTCTCCACATCTCCTGCCAACTCACTATGACACCAGTCACTGTCTGATGCCTGTTACCTATGCCCCTCCTTCCAGCCCAGTATTCGATAACCCAGAGAACTGGTCATTGCCCTTCAATCCAGAGAGGCCACTGAATTCCGCTGTTCTCTGGGTACCAGTCTACTGATCATAGATGGGGTGGGATGGAGGAGTAGACCACCAGATCCCTCTCCCCCCCTCCTCACCCTATCTGTGTTCAGCACTGTGTCGAGCTGGGGATACAAAGATAATATTTGTTATAATGAATATAAGACTCTACACAAGTAAGAGTCATTGAGCATTTGCTATGTCCTGCTAAGTCTGCATGGCTCACCCCTATGGGACAGAGGCACGTTATCCTCTCTGTTATAGGTGAGGCAGCTGAGACTTGGAAGGTCATAGAACAGTCGAGATCATACCGCTAGAGAGTGGCAAACCCGAGCCAAGCCCCAGTCTTCCCCACACGGAGATTACAGAGCACTGGAGCAGCAGGCTGGTTCATCATCCCTGCCCACTTTGGGGGCCACCCCCACCCCATTTGTACCTAGTTCCCCCAGGGAACAGAAAGAGGTTAGCTCTTGTTTGTGGGTTTGTCATGCAGCAGTGTAGCTCTCGACTTGCAACATCCTGCAAAGAGTGTAACAAAAAAATCTTTGTGGGAGGGAAGGGGGAGGCGGGAGAGGCAGCGCGTGAGTGTTGGCACCGGCCCCTGCTGTGCTTTATTCTGGCGGATCAGAGAGTCTGCCCGAGAGGGAGCACGGGCGCCCTTAGAGCCGCCTAAAGGGACTGGGAGACCCTGAGAAGTCCAGCCACCCTGTCGCATTTCTCTCTTCATTCTCAGAGCCCCCCTCCCCCCAAGCCCCTTCTCACCCAGATGAAAGACAGGAGACCCTCTCCCATATGCTCATCCAGAGCCTCTGGACTGTCTCTCAGGCACATCTCAAGTGTGCAGGGACCCACAGGTGTGTGGGGGTGTTAGAATGTCGAGGGAGCTCATTGCAAACCCAAACTTGGAGCTGAGCTGGAGCTGAGCCACTGGGCTGTGGTGCAAAGGGGGGAAGGTTCCAGAATTGGCTGCTGTGACCTGTGGGGACCTTATCTCCTGTGAAGTCCATGGGAAGGCAGTGTGCTTGGCCAGTGGCTGTAGTCTGTGCATGAGGGGCCTGTGCTCAGGCCAGCTGCAGGGGACAGCACACGGGGACGTGATGTCCCAGCTGGTCCCACAGGGAGCCCGCCGGTCATGTGCTGTGCATGTCCTGACTCTGGCAGGACAGATCTGCCGGGCAACTGGAATGCTTGGCCCCCGGGGACTTCCTTCCTTCGGTGGTTTGTCTAATCAGATGAGCTCTAGCAGGGTCTCGCCTTTGAAGCTCCAGCTGGAGGCCTCTGACACCCCGCCCCCAGCACACATCTCTTCCTCCCTTTGCCGTGACTCTTTGTGGTCTGGGTCTCGTTAGCCTCTGCAGGGGCTGAGTGCATTCTCCTGCTCCGCCTCCCCAGCTAGACAACCATTCTGCAAGAGCAAGGCCAAGCACTGGGTACCTCGGTCGAGGGCCAGCTGCACGAAGCCCAGACAGTCCTTAAGAAATATGCAAATTTCCACAGACTCAGAAACTTCTTCCTCACATCCTGTGTCGCTTTACCCCAAGGGATGCGAACTCCTTGGAACTTTGTGTAGAAACTACCAAGGCGGGAGACCCAGTGGCTTGTAGAATCCAGTGTCAGACACACAGACACACACATTCAGCCTTCAAAAAAGAAGGACATCTTGCCATTTGTGACAACAGAATGAACCCGGAGGACATGCTAAGTCAAATAAGCCAGACACAGAAAGAAATACTACACGATCTCGGTTTTATGTTGAATCTTAAAAAGTCAAACTCTTAGAAGCAGAGCGTGGAAGAGCGGTTCCGGGGACCGGGAGGCGGGGACACGGGAGATGCTGGTCAAAGGGTGCAACGTTTCAGGTGTGCGGGACGAAGAAATGCTGGAGATCTCATTACGGCCTGGAGACTCGAGCTACCCATGCTGTATCGTATACGGCAAATTTACTGGGAGAGTAAATTTAAGTTCTCTCCCACACACACCGGTGATGAAAGATATGCCAACTAGCTTGATGGCAGTAACTCCTCCACCAGATACAGGTATATCAAAACAGCACAGTGTACACCTTAAACATATACCCTTTTGGTTTGTCAACCGTACCTCCATAAGGGGCAGGACAAGAACGACTTGCTAACATTTGAAGTTCCAACCCAGCTTTAACTGTTGGCACTGACGGAGGGGACAAGGGACCCTTCCCATGCTCAGTACGGATTTTAGTAAGATTAGTTTTAAGCTAGCTGCTACTGAATGTTGTGTGCCGAGTGCTAGTCTCAGTCACTTGATTCTCAAAAGCATCTTACGAAGTAAATGCTTTGCCTCATTTTGCAGATGAAGGAACTGAGTCGCTTTCCAAGTGGCTCATAAATGGCAGAGACAAGATTCAGACTCTGTCTCCAGAACCCAGGTTTATCATGGATCTCTCATCGCGCTGGTTAGATTAGATTACCTTTAACATCCTTCCCAGTTCTGAGATTCTCTGAGACTCTGATTTCAGGACGTTATAAACCTATCCTAACCCTCTTATTTGTCAAACCAATCCCAGGTTTCTATGACGGCAGGTCTAAGGGCACGTTAGGATCAATATTTAGGTCAAGCTAGGATTGTTACAAAGAAGAGACAACCAAATGAGAACTGTGCCCTCATGATGCGTTTACCACAGCGTTACTGTCAGAACTGACCCGAGGCAGCGCTGTGGGCGAGACAGGAGCGTTTGTGATGGGTAACAGTTCTGACTCGGCGAGAACCATGTTAAAACAAGGGCTCCTGCCCAGCCGGTGTGGCTCAGTGGCTGAGCATCGACCATGCACCCCGAGGTCGCTGGTTCGATTCCTGGTCAGGGCACATGCCCAGGTTGTGGGCCTGATCCCCAGTGAGGGGCATGCAGGAGGCGGCCAGTCGATGTTCTCTCTCATCGATGTTTCTACCTCTCTCCCTCTCCCTCTCCCTTCCTCTCTCTCTCTCTGAAAAAAAAAAAAAAATCAGTAAAGAAAAAAAAATTAAAACAAGGATTCCTGCAAATTCAGAAGCAGCAGTGATGCCAAGCTGACTTGGACGAGTCCTACCTGCGCAGTTGAAGTCACTGGACTCTGAGCAGGGGCTGGTTCTCACCCATAAGGCAGAGATGAGATAACGGGGAGAGACTGACACCGGAGGGACCGAGGCCCCGATAGACAGGGCCCGAAAGACCTAGAGTGAGTCCTTCTCAAGCATCATCCACACCAAAATGAGAAGGCGCCAGGCAGCCTGGGTGCACGCGCACAGCAGCACCTAGGCACGGGTCCCTGGACGCCGGAGAGGCACCACCTGTCCCGAGGAAGGGGGCACCCTTGCTCCCCACGCATGATCGCAAACTGAGCAGACAGCACGTCCCTCCGCACGTGGCTGTGCTTCCCGTTCAGTGTCTCGTGGGAGAAGAGGGTGGGAAGGGGGGCCAGGTACAATCAAACCATCGGCACTGATGGTCGCACACAGCAACAGGGGCGCTCCCCTGGAAAAGGCAGAGGTCCCAAACTCTGTCAGTCCGACAGCCCCCTCTGATGGCAGCGCCTCTACTGGACCACCTACCCCGCCAGCCAGTCGCCACTTAGAAGACGAGGAGAGAAAAATAGCCCATTAGACCAAATGGGAGGCACTTAGATGAGACACCAATGAGGTGATGTCTGGCTTTTTATTAATGACCGTAAGTCAGTTATAAGGCATGCCAGGGGCTAATGGAGAGACACGTCCCATTGTAAACCTGTGGTACCAGCCCAGGGACCACCAGCAGGCGGGGCTGTGTTCTGAGCACTGGAGGGACCCTGGGCCTGGGCAGCATCTCGGTGCCCCATCCTGTCCCCACCAGCTCACACAGTTACAGTTGTCTGGACAGGTCCGGATCCACGTAGCACTCGGACTTGACCTGGAGTCACCAGGTGGATTCAGATGGTCCCGTGCACACCAGTGCTGTGAGCGCGTGCTGGTAAAGCAGGCACGGCGGCGTGGCGGCAGCCCCTGCATCGGAGGCCCCTGGCACGAACCTAGGCTGCAGTGGGACACCCCACAGCACAGTGGTTCAGAGCATGGGCTCCTACCTCTGCCGTTTGCCAACCGTGCGGCCTTAGACAAGCCATTAACCTTCCTGGGCCTCCGGCTCCTCGTTGGTAGAATGGACCTCCCGGGGCTGTAGAATGGACCTCCCGGGGCTGTAGAATGGACCTCCCGGGGCTGTCGCGGGGTTTAAGTGGGTTAATACCAGAGTAGGATGTCTCCGCCTGGGTACTGTTGACATTTGGGGCCAGATAATTCTTTGCTGTGGTGGCTGTCTCGTGCGTCCCAGGACATTTAGCAGCCTCTCTGGCCTCTGTCCACCAGAAGCAACCCTCCACCCCACCTCCCAGTTGTGACAAGCAGACATGTCTCCAGACATTGCCAGATGTCTCCTGGGATGGGGATACAGTTGCCTCCAGACGAGAACTACTGTATTAGGTTATGTTGTAGAGAAAGGTGCTCGACTGTCAGCAATTTCATCGTTACAAAGTGTCCAGGGAGTTTTGGACACGCTCGTGTGCCTTGTCTGGGGTAAAGGGCCCGATGCTTTCATTGCACGGTCAGAGGTGAGCCTTTGCCAGCCAAACAGAATTTCTCAGAGTCCTCATCTGTGAAATGGGTGCAGTAATCCCTGCCTCCTCGGGTTCCTGTGAGGATGCAGTGAGGGGACCGTGAGGCTGCTTTATACACTGGACAATGCCACAAAGCTGTCGGGAGAATGCCGCGCAGGTCCTGGGGCCGGGGAAGCGGGCGGGACCCCTTTCCCAGCAAATCCATCTTTGAGGAGAGTGTGTCTCTGGGGGAGAACCGTGTGGGCGGTGTGACTGGCTGGACAGGAAGGTTTCTCTGGGCAGCCACCGATGACAGATGGCTCAGTCAGGAGTCCAGGTGGCCTCATCTGGAGCGAAGGACCTGGGGCGGCGGGTTGGTGATCGGCCGCACGGTGGCGGAGTAGGGGACTCAGATTCCCACAGACAGACACCAGTGTGCTTTCTGTCCCGGCCCTCCGCTCATGACGTCCCTCCTGCCCGCAGATGTACCGAGGCTTCAGCAAGATGCCCCACGTGCAGTACATCCACACGGAAGCTTCCGAAAGTCTCTGCGGCGTTAAGCTGGAGGTCAACAAGTACCAGTACCTGCTGACAGGTAACGGCCACGACCCGCTGTTCCTTCGCTTCGGAAGGACCAGGAGAGGGTGACCCGCGGTGTCCAAGGACGTTGCCGCGCCCAGTGCACTGTCAGGGGTGTCCGGGCTGAGTGTGGCCGGTGGTGGGAGCGTGAGGCCCCTGCGCGGAGCCTGGGTTTCAGTCTCAGCTGCCCCTGACCCCGCGGGGGACATCTAATTTTGCAGCTCCTCGGCATTACTTTAAGTGAAAAGGGAACACCCATGCCTGTCCCTCACCACCTCGCAGTCAACCTACTGGGTCTTAAAAGAAAGTCACCCCCTTTAGGCAGTCAGTGTAGGAAAGGAAATAACAAAACCAAAGCTCCAAACTGTTGAGGTGGGAAGCGAAGACTTGGTCTCCCGTCCCAGGAGTCTCATTGAGACTCCTGCCAATCACTGAGCTGCTCGGAGTCCGTTTTCCCATCTGGAGAGTGGGGCTACAGTTCATCTTCAAAGGTGTAGGGGAGGCTGAAATGAAGTCTCAGGACCAAAATGTACTTAGCACAGTACCTGGCCTGAGGTGGGGACTCAGCAGGTGCGGATGCTTCCCCTTCTGGCTGGGCTCCGGAAAACGAGTTCCCTTTTCTGTCCACTCCCTCCCCCAGGCCGTATCTACGATGGGAAGGTGTACATAGGACTGTGCAACTTTGTGGAGCGGTGGGACCAGCTCACCATCTCCCAGCGCAAGGGGCTGAACTATCGCTATCACCTGGGTTGTAACTGCAAGGTAAGCCCACGGATGAACAGGTGGGGGGTGCTGGCTCACAGCCCCAGAAATACCAGCTCCTGCTGTGCTGGGCGCGGGGCCTCGTGCTGGGAGGGAGGGAGGGAGGGGCCGGGGCAGAGGGCAGGTCTGAGCAGGGGGTGAGGAATGCTGCCCGGGCTGAGCAGCAGAGAAGGTGCCTTTCTGCTGTAATCTGCCTGGCGCTGCTCACTTGGCAGCTGCTGGGACTCGGGCGGGGGCTCTTCAGCATCCCTAGCCCCTCCCACGGCTCAAGTTGGTGGCAAGTACAGGGTCCTTACACTGACAGGTCCTGCCAAGTAGTCCCAAGTGGGCTCACAGCTGACTTGTCGCCCCACCGCGGGTGGGAGAGGTGGCTCAGGACCACGGATGGCACATGCTACAGAGGGTGACTCCAGCCAGGCCCAACTCCCGGGCCCAGGCACACAGCCTCCTACTGCAGGAGGACGCTGGGCTGTTCTCTCACTTGATGCTCACCACAGCTCTGCAGTTTCTATTACTATCATCCCCATTTTGTAGATGAGGAAATAGAGGCTCAGAGACCTTAAGCAACTAGCCCTAGGTCACACAGCTCCTTAAGTCCGACTTCCAGCCTAGGGCAGCTGGACTCCAAAGTGTATGCTTTTAATCTCTCTAATTCCTCAATTGCTCATCCTTGCTTGTTACTGTTTGAGAGGGAGAAGCTCTCTCAAAGGTCTAATTCTACCACTTTCCAGCTGTGTGACCTGGCTGTGCAGTTAACCTCTCTGGGTCTCTATTTCCTTGTCTGCAAAGGGAGATGTGTCTGTTAAGAGAATTAAAGAGAATAATGTAGCAGCACTTAGCAGAATGCCTGGCACACAGTAGGTGCTCAGTAAGTGTCAGCGAGTATTATTTACATTCTTTTCACTGAGGGACTGATGTAGCCGGGCTCCGCCTGCAGTGGTCCCTGGTTCCGAGTCCAGACTCGGGCAAGCGTGAGGCCTGGGTCCCCCATGGCAGAGTCTACCAACCAATGGCTGTTTTCTAATTGCAGATCAAGTCCTGCTACTACCTGCCTTGCTTCGCGAGCTCCAAGAATGAGTGTCTCTGGACCGACATGCTCTCGAACTTCGGCTACCCTGGCTACCAGTCCAAACACTACGCCTGCATCCGGCAGAAGGGGGGTTACTGCAGCTGGTACCGAGGATGGGCCCCCCCGGACAAAAGCATCATCAACGCCACCGACCCCTGAGCACCAGACCCTGCCCCATTTCACCTCCCTCCCTTCCCGCTGAGCTCCCCTTGGACACTAACTCTTCCCAAATGATGACAATGAAATTAGTGCCTGTTTTCTCGCAAATTTAGCACTTCGAACACTTAAGGAAAAGTCTGTACTGTCATGTGGAGTTTATTTGGAGACATCCTCCTGGCCCTACCTTACCCCTTCTTTTTGGTTTTGACATCACCCATTTCCCCCCGGGAATTTCTGGTGCCATGCCAGAGAGAACGAGGAATGTACACTCCTCTTCTTCGTGATGACATAATCTATATTTTTTTAGGAAAACAAAAATCAAAAAACTGCCCTCTTTGGGCATGTCATACCTATGCCGCATTCTTCTGCCCCACCTCCGCACCCCCCAGACCCTCCTCCCTTTGCCCTTCTCCTCCACCCCAGCACAGGAAGGACACAGGGAAGGACAGTGCTGAGAGGTTGGCCGTGTGAGGACCAGTCGAGGGTAGCAGAGAGACTCAAGGTAGGTGGGAGATGGTGCACACTGAGGAGATGCTATGGCATGTCCCATCCAGGCTGGCTGTCTGGGTCTCTCTCATGTAAGAGTGGGAAGGGGAAGGAAGAAACTGTAAAAGAGGGTCTGAGACAATGCAGGATACACAGTTCCCCCAGCCCAGCGATACTCGGGTTGACCAGATGTCTGAATCTAGAGCAGCCAGCCAGGCCATAAAATAGAACTTTTCTAGTCAGTGAAGACTTAAAACATCTGCCTGAGGTCAGGAGGCAATTGGCCTGCCTTGTAAACAGCTCAGGTGAAAGACTGAGATGAATGTCTTCCGTCTCCCCGCCTCCCCCCAGATTTCCTCCTGGAAAACTCATTGGTAGATTTGGCCAGGAGCTCTTTGCCCTTAAGTAAATTGGAGAAATACACACACCATACACTCTCCACAGCTATAGCCACGTAGACTCGGGTAGAGAACACTATTTCCAGAATCGCATTTAGCACACCTACGGGGATACACATTTGCATATACCCACACGGGGACATGGCTGAACTTTTTACAGGACACAGAATTCTGTTCAATGCTGTTAAATACACCAATAGTTTAATCTCTTCTATTTTGTTGTTGTTGCTTGTTTGAAGAAAATCGTGACATTCCAAGTTGACTTTTTTTTTTCATGTTAATTAAAATTTGAGATTCTGAACACCCTCAGCATCCCTCTCACTGGGGTCACCTGACCTCCGTCCCGCTCCTTGTCTCCTGCTTCATGTTTGGGGCCTTCGTTGAATTGGTCTTACTGGCTGGGCTCAGGTGGGAGATGAGTCAGTGTGGGTCTCGGGCCTGAGCACAGAAGGGGAAGCTGCAGTGTCCTTCCCAGGTGAGGTGGCCACCTTTCCTGGGCTTGGGGACAGCTTGCTTGTCTTTCTCTAGCTCACCTGTGGGTAATGCCACCTCCTGAGGTCCTCACCTCATGGATTAAATTGGGTGGTCCCTGGGGAAGCCTGACTCTGCAATCAGCTGTAGGGTTTTTTGTTGTGTGTGTGTGTTTTTTTTTGTAAAAGAAAACTATAATATAAGTTCTCCAATTAAATAAAGTGATTTGAAGTTTTAGTGCTGAACATGAGATGCTGAGAGTAGCGATAATGTATATTTCAGAACGGGGGGTGGTAGGATGTTGACATTTAACATGATTGCTCTCTTTTTCCAGATGATGGGTATTTATCCTCTATTAGTATCTGTATCTTCAGTTCATTCCGCTTTAGGAAACAGAGCTGCCAGTTGAAACAGGAGAGCAGACAGCAGCAGACACACCGTGGGGATGTCTCGCACGCACACACAAATGCCCAGGAGGGTGTTTGGCAAAACCCCAGAGTGGGAAGACAGTACAGGCATCCGGTTTCTTTAGGATCGATTCCATTACCTTGTACCTCTCTCCCTGTGGTCATGACGTTTGGCAGGCGGGAAACGGGAAGCTTTGCCGGCTCGAAGGGGCAGCGTGAGTGGGAGGAGCTGAGGGCAGCAGGCCAGGGGCTGTTAAGGGGTAAGCCCCAGACTGGGTGTTTTTAAGATTTTATTTCAACCTCAAAGTCTTACAAGGTGGAACCCCCTGATCCGACCTGTACCAGTGCCCTCCCACAGCCGGACATCAGCCTCTCTCTCCTCCATGGGGCATCTGACCATTCTTGGTCCCTGGAGGGGTTACCCCCCTTCACACCGCAGGGATTTGGGATGAGGCCTGAGCACGAGTCACCTGAAGTTTCCCTGTAGACAAGCTGGCGAAACCACGGGCCCATCTGCCAGGCCCTGGTGAGAACCGCAGGTCCCGGGCAAAGAAGGGGCCTTTGCAAAGGGACGTGGTCAGAGGGCGGTTGTTGAGCTTTCTACAAGCTATAGCTTTGTTTATTTCACCTGTTCACTTACTGTATAATTTAAAGTCATTTATGTAGCTGAGGCACTTCTGTATTTCAATCATATTGTGAACGTTTTATTTCGCTAAATCTTGTGTCATATGTAGGCTGTAATATGTGTACATTGTGTTTAAAAGAAAAAAAATGAAACCCACATGCACCATTTTCCTGAATCAAATTCTACGGTGGAATGAAGGGTGAGCACCTCCGTTGTGCAGGCAGCTGGCCTGGCGAGAGGGGGAAGCCAGAAGGGGGACTAGCCCCGGGGCCTCCTCCAGCCGCCTCTGTTCCGGAGGAGGCAGGGGGCAGGGAAAGCGGCGTCCGTCCGCCCCCTGCTCCGCGTTGTCTGGCCCGGGGCAGTCTGCGGGTCATTCCCATTCCTTCCCCTCCAGTCCCTTTGCCCGTCCAATTGGGAAGCCACGAGTTTTAAAAATCCCAAGCCATGAGAACTACAGTTCCAAGATCTCTTGGCGACCCTTGGCCATGTCTTCCGCCTCCCTCTCCAGGAAGCCCCCCAGGCTCTGCCTATCAGCCCAGTGCGCCATCAGGCAGACTGGATAATACTGGGAGACGCCCGTCCTCTACCTTCACCAGCCCCAGGCCTGAACCATGGTCAAGCTACAGCCCACGAGCACCATTTTTCAGACCATGGTTCTTGAGCAATTCAAGAAATAAAAGGTGTATAGGGGCAGCTGTGTCTCAGACGCCGAGGGAGACCATACCTTCCCTGCCCCGGCCCGTCACCCTGTGTTTGATGATGGCCAATATGGATCACCCTACGATCACACCCAAGTGTTTGGCTCCCGGCCGCCCAAAGTCAAAATATCACTAAAACAGTTGAGGGCAAAAGCAAAACCAAATGGGGATGGGTAGGAGAGACAGACTTCAACAGCCTCCTAAATGGCTCCAGGGAGGTACAGGAGGGGAAGAGCTTAGAGACCGGTTCACGCTCTGAGGGGAGGGGCCTCGTCGATTCTCCACACCCCGCCTCCCCCTCCGCCAGTCCGCTGTCCTGAGACCCAGAAGTGATGGAGAGACACCAACCAGAGAAAACCCTGTCCAGAAGGAATGTATTTGTTGCTAAATTTTGTAGCACTGTTTACAGTTTTCCTCCATGTTATTTATGAATTTTATATTCCGTGAATGTATATTGTCTTGTAATGTTGCATAATGTTCACTTTTTATAGTGTGTCCTTGATTCTAAACAGTAAAGTGGTTTTATTTCTATCACACACCTGCAGCCTCTTGCCTCGTTGTGCCCTGACCGCCGACGGGGTGATGCGGATGGCAGGGGGCCTTGGAAGCGGCTCCTGTCCTGACCCCAGGCCCGCACACACTCCTGCCCCACTGGCTTCCGCAGCTTGGGCCCGCTCCGGTCCCAGGCAGGGAGCCCGTCAGGAGCGGCATCTTAGATTTCCTCCTGGTTGCCAATCCAGCCCTGACCTTGCTCCCTGCTTGCATGGCCAGAGTTCTCCCTAGTTCTACGGAATCTGGATCTCTGTCGAATTACCTGAGCGGTACTCTTACTCCCAGACTGGGGCCCTGGCTGGGCCTTCCTGTTCTCTTCCTAAGAATCCAGGTGGAATGGGGAGGGGATGGCAGCAGAGAATGGTCCTTGATGCCAAATGCCTGCCGAGATTCTGAGTGTGCGCAGCCTCGTGGGCAATGCCAGGGACCCGTGGGCCTCCCTGCAGATGGCCAAGCCCTCCCAGAGCTCAGAGCTGCCTGTCACCCTCAGTGCACCAGGCGTCACCCCATTGTTGACAATGATCCAGGGTGTAGTTTGCTCACATTTTAAAGCCGCTCTACTTTGCACACCTACCAGAGGCCAGGCACAGCGCTCTATACCCTTTATCTATAGCATTATATCTATGATGATGCCATTAACTGTCAGCAGCCCGGAGAGATCGCTCTGCTCTCCTCCATGTTTCCAGCGACGGGAAGCTGAGGCTCATGAATTGCTCAAAATCTAGTAGGCAGGCGGAACGAGGATTCGAGCTCGGGCTGGTTGATGATAAACCCCGATCTCCACTACGCTCCTGCTCTGCTGGAATATGCGGTTCCCTGCCCTTCTTATTCCAACCAGCTCCTCCTGCATGCTACAGCTCTCACTGGATCAGATACATCAGGGAAGGATGATCAGTGGAAAACCTCTCCATCCGGTTCGAGTGCTCCCACCTGGAGCCTGCAGTCCGACCATCAGTGTCTCTGATAGGACTGTCCAGCTCAGCAGCCTGAGCTTGGAATTCAACAAACAGGCACTGTCTCGAGCGGGTACGATGGATACCCTATTAACTACCCTGTTCCCCAGTGCGGGGCTGCAGCCCTGCATTCCTCTGACCAGTTTAAGGAGACCACCTGCCATGCGAGCAGGCATGTCACGGGCAGTTTCCAGCTGCTCAGGACTCTCACACCCACTTCTCCTAGCGGGGGAGAGCTCACCGCCCCAGTCAAAAAGACAGTAACCTCTCCCAGCCAGCTGTCCAAGTTCAGCTCCAGCCACTTCCCAGAGACTGCCACAGATCTATCCAAAAGTTGGCATGTGAAGGGCACACAAGGGAACCGCCCTCCAACAATCGATGCAAATCAAACATTACTGCTTTTATTAACAGAGAGAGGAAACCAAGCCCAGCGTAGGCGCACATCAAATAACATCCCGCCTCTGAAACATCTTTACCCTTGTGATCAGCCTCTGGCTCCAACATGCTAGTTCAAGTTGTGCCCTTGTTAGCTGAAAATTCCTGATGTCCCAAGGAATTCTGTCCACCTCTCATGTGTCCTCCCTACAATGTCACCTGGAGAGACGCCTCTTTCCTCAGGAGAGCCGGGCATTCCCATGAGGCATCACGGTGCTTCCTTAGCAGCCCCTGAGCCCACCCCCTCCATTCGGATGGACGGAGAACGCAAACATGTGTTGGCTCCAGATCACACGAATAAACAGTAGTAAAGGGCACTCACCATTGGCTTATGGTTGGGGAAAAATGTCTGCTCCACAAGCGGGAACTTCTCAGGACCCAGGGAATGGAAGATCTTAATGAGCTGAGAAAACTAGGTCAGAAGAGGAGAGAACGTCGGTCAGTGCGCTCTGCCTGTGGGGTGAGGCCCCGTCCTCAGCTGGACATCTGCCCTCTCCATCATCTGGCTGCATCAACCCCTTCCTTCCTGCCAGGCCCCCTGAGTTCAGCTCGATGCCTTTTCATGAGCGCCCCCTACACCCTCAGCATGTCACACGAGCACAACCTGCTGACGTCACGCCGTGTCCCTGCCCGCGGTGCCTTTCGTTTAGAGAGGCATATGGCAGAGGAGTGTACGGTACCCAACCCGGGTTCGCATTCTCGCTCCGCCTCTTACTATCTGTGCAACCTGGGAGTCACGGCAGGTGTCAGGGCTTCAGGGCTCTTGTTTGTACATGGAGAAAACACGTTATCCAGCCTCACGGGGTCGTAGTAAGGCTTGAACATGCAGCATGTTCAAGGGCTTTAAGAGTATTTGGGGGACTGGACGGGTGGTATTTTAGAAAAAGCCTCTCTTACAGGTAACATTTAAACAGAGACTCAAATACGTCAAGTGAATGAATGAAGTAATGAATAAAACACAGGGGGAATCGGGTCTTGGGGGTTAGAAAGGGGACTCCAAGTTCTGGTTTCACCCCTCGACTCTGGGGGGGTTCCTTAACTCTTCTAAAGCTAAGCCCATGTCACATGATGGTGACAGATTGAACACCAGACAGCGCAGTGTTTGGGCACTTACTAAGTGCTCAGTAAACAGGCCTATGTCAATCACAGCGACACGACAGAG